TCTAGATTCAATGGTATAGCTTCTGAATGTACAGAAAATGCGTGGTAGTCCTTCACACATATGCGTTTAAGGAGATTTGGGTCGCGAATCAGTAGAACTGGCTGGAAAAAGTTGTAGAACCCGATGTACCTGCAAAATTAGTGCTTTGCAAAGTGAAGAACGTAGATTTTCAAACCCACCTTTTATTTTTAAATTTATAGTATAGTTCTTCGAAAACATCAGAATAACAATTGATCCGGAGTGCGTTTTCACTAAACAGTCCGAAACAATGCAAGGGATGCACGCAATAAGGTACCCCTCGGCCTTTCCAGTAGGTGTAGATCTTTCGTACCTTGTATAATGTTATTATCAACACAGGGAATATTACTAAAAACCACATTTTGATGTAATACTACGCAGTAATTGGTAACAAAGCGCAGTTAATGTAACTCAATTATTCAATAATATTATGAACAAGTTATTTATGAATTAGATAATTAGATAAGTTCAAGTTAAATACAATTTTCCATGTAAACAAAAATTCCAAAGGCGACTCGACAGCAACTCATTTTTGATCGCATAGTATTAGATGAGTCACCACTTATCATTGCGCGTGTTTGTAATTGTTGTAATCTAGAATTTTAGTAACGGCTAGGAACTCATTTCTAAAAATATGTTTACGCTTCTTTTCTTATCAGATTGGATAAGGTTTGATACTAAACTTAATAATATTAATAATAATAAATGTCTTTATTGCCAACAGAGTGTGTACTACAAGCAAACGGGCGACAAAAGGTGTAAGTTCAGGGACTGACACCAGCGCTAAATATTAATAATTGGGGCTTTTTAGGGTTTAGTCTCAAGCAGTGATTTATAGATTGTCTTGAAGCGAATTCTAAAGCACAATTGATGAGTTTAAATTTGCAACATCAATTCATCAGCATATAGGAGCGTAGTCCCTCTCTGGCATATAGTCAAGTCGAGTCAAGTCGGTTTATTAATAAAAAAAACTATTTATAATAGTTATTTACAAGTCAACGTATACAGTAAATAATAAAGGTCCGAGATCTGAGCCCTGAGGTACACCCCTGAACAACATAAGTTCATCTGAGTTCACCCACGTGAGGATGATGACAACTTATAATGTTGATATCATGTGAATGTAATTGAGGATTATTTAAGTAAACAAATTCCTCACGTTGAATAACGGAATATACATAGCTTCTAATTATATTATAATATTTGATATATTATCCATGGAAAATTTGTTTTGGTAAATCTGTTGGGATTTGTACTCACAGTCTCGGAAATAATAAAAACTTGTATATTCGTTAGAAAAACTGGACACAATTTTATGACAGCAAAACGATCTTTTTAGTTAATTATAACATCACCCAGACTACACATACAATGAACATTCACAGAGCACACTACAAATTAATGCAAATGTAATTAGAGTATTCTTGATTTCAACACCTTCCCTCATTGAATAATTTGTTATACCTCAAGCTCAAACCCATATTATCACGCAGGCTTGAATAATGGTTTCGCTATCTGGAATTCAGATGCTATCTTCAGAACCTTCCATAACGAGTTTCGGCTTTCTATACCTACAGTGCTATTCATGTAGAAGTAGACATTGGGATTTCCTATAGGAATTTCTTATGTCTACTTTTACATGATAAAAAGTCTTCTAAAGGACGCCTAACTTTATGCAACCAAAATGACTATCTACAACAAATGAAGATCTGCGTGTCAGATTAATTAATTTGAATACTAGAAATGCCAGCGACTACGCTGCTGGCCGCTGGCTAGTATAGATACACAAAACAAATGTTTCATTGTAATGCCCCGTAACGTATTGTAGAGCGCAGTTTACCACTGGCAACAATTATGCTACATCCAGCGTGCGTGCTATGTATAACGTGAAGTATATCCTACCCGTGACACCACTCCGCGACACGGACAGCGTTCGCTTATGTTATATGATTATCGCTCCGACTTCCCTATTCTAATTTTCGTTTAGGAGTTAAATGAGCTTATGAGATTTATTTTCTGTGAATCCAAAGCCACAATATTCAAATTAATAATTAATATGACAGCCAGATCTTTATTTGTTTAAAGAAATTATTTTGGTTGCATAAAATTGGGCGTCTTTCAGAAGACTTTTTATAATTTGAAAGTAGACATAGGAAATCCCTATGTATATCTGTATATGGAAAAAAATTATCTGACTTCTAATAAGCTAGAAAGAAACTCATTAAGCATTATGTGAGTGTGAGAGGGATATATTTTTATCAATGTTGACATTGACAGTAGCAGGTTAAGACCACTTTTATAGCGTGGTTTGAAAATTATTCCATAGTCAGCAGTTGAATATGACGAAATATGCGTGTTCCTGCAATCTATTGACATTCCCGCACTAGTGCGGGAATTAAGCACTTTGCGTACGCGATCTGGTTAATTCTTAAACGATTGTAGGAAAAACGCACTTACTGGTTGAGTTGATTTTTCAGGACTTCTAGATGCAATTCCAACAGCATATGCAATATCTGGCCTTTTACCTGTCATGTGGTACATCAGTGTTCCAACTGCGTGTCTATATGGAAATTTCTGAATTCCGTCCCTGGTTGAATATTTTTGTTAATAATCGATATGGAAACTGGTTTACAGTGTTCCATTCCAAACCTTTGCAGGAGTTTTCTTGTATAACTCGTTTGACTAACTCTAATCGATTCATCTTTCATTATTTCGATTTATATTCCAATATAAGACGAGGCTGGTTTCATTGTAATTTTGAATTCATTTCCAAAATTTCTCACGAAATTTCAGTGATGCATTATTCGGTGGTAGTGGACCATCATCTACATATATAGCGCTAGAAACATTATTATATCTTCTCCTTGCTTCTTCATGAACAAACAAGCATCAGCATCACTTTTAAATCCTTTTTTGATCATGAAAGCTCCCAACGTTTTGTCCCATCATCTTGGAGCTTGCTGAGACCATAAAGGCTGCGTTTGAGATGGCAAACAAAATGGGATCCACTCTCGTATCCCTTAGGTTGTTTCATAAAGATGTCCAGGTCTAGTTTCCCATACAAAAAAGCAGTCGAAACATAGAATTGTGTTAGCGACATATTTTCGCATTAGGCTTACGATGGATTATGAACTGTATGTACCATTTCCACTACTTCATGAGGATCAGGATGAGTAGGTTCATCAGGATCATCAATTCTTGTATAGTGACGGAATGCAGTTTCACTTCCTTGTAGTGTTCAAGTGGAATAGTTTCCATTCTCCAGGGACGTAGGCATCTTCGTCAGTCTAGAGAAGCCTGACCCTGACTGCTCCACATAATGTGACAGGTATGTTACACTTGATGGCACCCATGGAATGGAAAGAATTGACTTGAAGTAAAAGTACGGGGTCTGTTTCTGGATTCTCTTCGTTTTAGCTTTAGAGGAAAGTGAGTAACGATTCTGGGAGATCTTCTGCATTTTTAAAGAAGTCATTTGTTGGGAGGTGATTGCAAACTTTACTCCGAGGTCATTAACATCGACAAGGCGAAGAATCACTTCTTCATTCGAAATACGGTGAATGGATACATACTTTATGGAAATCAAGAGTACTGACTGGCTGTACCTTCCTTCTTTTGTCTTGACCCTTAGTTTCATATTTTCAATTTTTTTTTACATCGAATTTGGGTAATGGAGATCGCATTTAGGAATAGCATATGTGGATGCCTTATGTTTCTTGAAAGTCGCGAGCGACTGAGTCCTCGTGTAATTTTCGCTACACAACGTGTGGAGGAGAAGTGACGCCACATTGGCTAGTTTTACTGGCTTTTTTAAGAGAAATTATCCCCTTCTCCCCCATTTTAGAGACATCAGGACTCGACGCAGTCACTTCCTCATCATAAACAAAACACTTGCTGGTGATTTTGACAACACAACACTCACGACATCCGTTACATGTGACACAAAGAAATCCCATTGAAACAAACAAAACATTTTTTGGTGCATCGTTTGTTTGGTCAAAAAGAGCAAAAAATGTGAGACAAAAGGGCTGTTTTTCGAAAATTACAGATTTTCAAGAGCTGATTCTCGAAAACTAATAAGTATCGAAAACTTGACCCAGCAAAACTTGTAGCAAACATAATCAGCTTGTATCTTGTATAGAGATGAGAGAAAAATGGATCCTTGATACAGAAGCTTGTGCACACTGATGCGGCTGCAGGACACGGTTTACTAAACGTTATAAAACAGTTTGCGTTAAATAAGCAGACAACTAAATCGCTTACGAAATAACTCAAATATCGAGCGAACGAATTGGCGAGTTCGGTGTAGTTTGGCCCTTTTATTTTTGTGCGGTAACAGGAACTCGATTCACGTTTTCCCGAACTTTGGCCCGGTTTGAATGCGGTCAAGATAAGTAAACGTTCATTATCATTAAATTTTCCGTACAAGAAGAGTCCCACTCCAAAAGCGATCCAGTTTTCAACTTTTCTAAGAGGGAGCCTTCTCAAGGGAGAGCTGTACCTAAAGAAAAAAACTGATTCTAGCGATATCTGTAAGTTACTTTAATTTCTTTTTGAATTATATGACGTACTCGTCGGCTATTTTTAAGAATTTGTAGCGGATGTCGATTTAACGTAATCGAGGAACCGATCTGTGGAACATATTTGTATCGTTCTCTAGGTGCAATGTTTTTAACTTGAATCATTTATGACTTAGATCCATATCATACTCTGATTGCAAGGCGAGGTGAGTCAGAAATAATGGCTGGCGTTTCTTACTCAAAAAGACATGCTTGTGGCGTGTTTTGGAATCTTCCTTGAATTCCTTTTGCATGGAATTACGATTATTCTCCTAAAAGGGAAGCGGATTTGTTGGCGTTATTTTGCATTGTCCAGTATTTCTTAGAAACCATTTGTAAGTAGCGGTAGTCTGCCGATTCACGCGTGTCATCCCGATAACCTTTGACATTGTTTATATCTCGGTTACTTTTTGCTTAAATCATTCAAGAATTAATTGATCGTATAGTGATCAAGATAACAATTTAGTAATCCTTTCAAGAACACGCCAATTCGCTGATTAAGTTTTATGGTTAGTGTTTAGTCTTCTTTACTGTAAATGGCGGTTAAGAAAACAGAAGATCTCGAGAATAAGCTTCTTCCACCAGATGGGGGCTGGGGAATTGTCGTAGCGTTGGCCGTTGCGACAGTATTTGTAAGTGTGTCGTCTGGCAATGGAAATTAAAAATAAACGCGCGCATATTGTTGCATGACAGGGTTCTATAATTGTACCCACTGGAGTTTTTGGGGTAGTATACGGGCCGTTTCTCGCCACCATCGGAGACGAAACAAGCGGAACAGCAATAGTAAATTCCGTGTTTAACACAGTGCTCTGTTTCACTGGTAGGTCTAGGCGTCAACAAAACCAAATCATCGCCCCAAAATTTCAGGGTTACCAGCAAACCAGCTTCTGCAGAGGACTTCGTATCGTGTAGTCGGTCTACTGGGGGCTCTATTGTACTTTTTGGGCAGTTTCTCGTGCATATTCGTTACGAGCCGAGCTCAACTGGTGATCACATGGGGAATTTTGCAAGGTGTCAAAAATGCTTAATTTAGGAAACACGAGAGCTTTTCTTGCAGGCATGGGGTTCGGTTTGATGATGCCGGCAGTTTTCACGGCCTTCAATCGCTACTTTGATACGAGGCGAAACGCGGCAATGGCCATGGCTCAAGTCCTAGTAGCTGCACTTAATATTTCCTTCCCGTTCTTAGCAACACTGTCAATGGATACCTTCGGATTTAGAGGAACTGTTGCGCTTATATCCGCGTATGGATTACACTGTTTCCCAGCCATGCTTAGTTTGCAACCAGTCGAGTGGTACATGAAGAAGGAACCCTTGGATGCAAATTCGCAAATGTACCAACTTAGCGGTAATAACTTAGAGGAGAATAAAGAGCCGGTACCAACACTGTGCACATCGACGAGACGTGACAGAAAATTACTCGATGCATGGTGAGATACCAAAAGTCTAATTGATCGTCACCTAAAAGTTTTGTAGGAAATCTGTGGAAAAGGCGTTGGATTTGGGTCTATTCAAACAGCCCTCATTTGTTAATATAGTGTTAGGTTTATCACTATCGATGACATCTGATTTAGCGTTTATTTCCATTTTTCCATTGCTATTAACCACTGCCGGTTTCAGTACAGATGAATTGACATTAGTAATGACTACATACTTTACTGCAGACTTAATTTCTAGAATATTTGTCTTTTTGTTAACTTCACGCATCGACATTAGTAGCCGAAAGTTATTTCTTTTTGGAGCTTCATTTTCGGCGATATTTCGCATACGTAAGTAATGGAGGTTTTGTCTCACAAGTGAACGGTTTGTTACAGTTTACGTTGTTGGGGACTCGTTTTGGTGGATTGTTGTGATATCAGCTGTGCTTGGATTTTTGCGTAGCTTCATACAAATCCCGTTACCTTTGGTTGTTGCAGAAGCCTTTCCAACAAGATTCGTGACGGCCTTCTCTTTATATATGGTGGTTTGTGGATGTGTTGCTTTATCCTTTGGACCTTTAATGAGTAAGGGTTATTTTGCATTTACCCACGGGTTTGGCATCAGATTTGCGCAGGTTTCGTGAAGCAAACTACTGGAAGGCTGGATATGGTTGTCCATCTTCTGACTTTAGCTCATATTTTATGTGCAGTCCCATGGTTAATTGAGATGGTATACGCCAAATTTGTTAGAAAATGAATGATTAATTTACACGGTGTGCACCACAAGAATCTATATAAGTTAAAATAGGTATTTAATGTATCAATAAGGCGCGAATAGAATGTAAAATTATGAATTCTGTATTCACAAAAAATGTGTCGCCGAATAGTAGTCAGAAATCGGACAGTCACCTTTTTAATAAAAGGTGGGAAGTAATCATATTAATAGGTTGTCCTTTTATCAATCTACACATTTTGGTTTGACCACGTAGGATGGTTCAACTCTTGGAGCAGGGGAAGTGGAACAATTCGAGGAATCTTAAAGATAAGAAATATGTCTATTAAGCTGAAGAAACCGAAACATCCGAAGTAGGTATTCAAAAGGTTCAAAGAACTGTCTGACAGTGTTAAGAATCGGAATAATTAAAAAAAAACGAAAGAATACAAAGAAGCAGATGAATCTGAAGAAGAAATGCAACTAAAGAATTTCGAGAATCGGGGGGCCCATAAAACGAGACGAAACAATCTAAAGAAAAGAAAATCCCAAGTAAACGATGAATCCCAAGTGTATGAAATATGTGAATTATAGGAAAAATCGGAAAAATTCTCAGAATATGACGAATTTTATGTATCTGAACATTGAGCAATCGCCTGATAGATCTGAGAATTTTGAAGAATTTGGAAAATAGAAGAAACTTAAAGAGTCTTACGACTGTTTTCTTAAAGAACATGGTTTGTCTAAGTAAGGATTGTTTTTATTTCGTGTATTGTGCGCATGAACGTTCTTATGTGTTTTTAAAAGTATGTTTACGTTTAAATATAGTAACACGACTTCGGAATACCGAAATAGTTTAGTAAAAATGCATAATCTAAATATAGATACGTAACTATAACCTTGTGTGTGTGTGTGAGGGTGGGAGGGTGTGTGTGGGAGGGTATGGTTGCTTGGGTTATTGGTGGAGATATTACAGTATTTTGTGAGCCTGTAGTGCTGTTAAGGTTTTTGCGTTTGGGTTGAATACTAATGGGTCGTGATAATGTGGTTTATTATGATTATAAAAGTCGGGAAAATGTCACATTACTGGCGAGGAAATATTGAAGTACGAGGCTGAGTACCTAAATTTCCGAGGTAAGTAATGTCATTTTACTGACGAGTTTTGTATTAAATTTTCCCGAAATCGTGTTTTAATATAACATTTCAATTTTTATATGGAACTTTTGATTAATGTCAATCTGTCAGTGATGACAGTAGTCATTATAGACATTTAGCAATGTCACAGATGCGGCCGGTAAAGTGACAAGCGTCATGAAACAGTCTGTTCTAGCTCTGTCATGGAAACCAAAATTTCCTGACAGAAAGTAGCCATGAAAATGAAGGTTTCAGGACGATTTTGGGCAAAAAAATAAATCGTTTCATAGATAATTGGAAAAAAGTGAAAATCGACATTTTTAACAAGTTCAAATATTTTAGTAACAAAGAGTGCTATCAAAAAAGTTTCAAATAAAAGTTGAAACGTTCGATGGGATAAATTCAATGGACATAGACAAACATTTTTCAAAATGGCGGTTGTCGAGATATTGACTTCCTTATTTTAAATGGATGCTATATTGGATTTTAACTCAGTTTGGTAGAGTATTTTTTTCTCTTTCCAACCATGTACAACGAGTTATCATCCAAATTATAAATATTGGTAAAATTACAATTTTCATTTTTTCTTCATAGTTGGCCATGGAAACAGCAAGCAATTGGCATTTTGCAATGTTACAATTGTCTGGCCGGCCAGTAGTTTTATTAAAGAATTAATTAACATAAAAATATATAGTAACGGAATTTCAAATTACAGCAAATGTTCACAATGCATTCCATTAGTAACTAAGCACATTCGGCACCGCTTAGCTACTGCCGCAGTTGCCTTGCGCAGTGTAAACAAATGTTACATTGTAAAATGACAGTTAGGCCTTTATGCTAATTTTGTTTCCATGGCCAACTATGAATAAAAAATTATCAAAGTCCTCGTTTGAGATCGAAGGGACTTCAGCGCATTTTTGTGTGGCAGATCAGTATTCTATTAGCCACTTTCGACTCAACCATCAATAACAGATCTTGTCAAAGGCTACTACATTCACTAACCGCTTCCCACTTTCCGCGTGCACCCGCAATTCGCTTTTAAAGTTTTGACTCCACCATCAGTAAGATCGTGTCGGGGGCTACCACATTCCTTTTACGGTACCCACTTCCGACGTCCCGTTCACTCGCAATTCACTTCTATTGGCGGCACGAGAAAGAGAGACAGCGATTCGAGATTTACGAAACGTTAAACCGCGTGAGTTCGCAACGGAAGATAAAAGGCGCCCGAAGTTGACTACTTCTCGAAGACGCGCGCGCGCGCCTCGCAAAAGGTCGTTAATTTCGCCCCTATGACAAAAAACAAAATTCCGCCACGCAGGAGTTGTGCGCGTTTACAACATCTTTCCGACGACACCAATTTGAAAAGAATCGGACCAAAACTGTAATAGAAGATAGGAAAAAACTGAAAAACCTTCACGTTAGTATACTACGCTCGAGGATGACGCCCAGATGTCGCCAACCCCACATCATGTAGCCATGTCCCTAAGGTTGACAAATTTCACGGCCCTGTAGATACACGTACACCCGTTGCCTTTCTACAAGAGTTCTTCTACGCGCCCACATTTGCTGCCAGCCAGCCAGCCAGCCAGCCAAAGTGAGATTAAAAGCTACTTTTTACAAATAAATTTGCAAAAATGCGCTAAAAATGAAAATTGTAAGTTTACCCATGTTTATTATTTCAATGATCACTTGATATACATGGTTGGAAATAGAAAAAAAAAAACTGTATCAAACAGAATAAAAATCCAATATGGCGTCCATTTAAAATAAATATAGTTGATGACAATATGTATATCATCACTATCATTTTAAAAATTTTTTTCTACGTCCATTGAATTTATTCCATAGAACGTTTCAACTTCTTTACAAGAAAGTAGCTTTAATTATAATAAGAAAATATGCATTCCAAATTGGTTGGGGCATGAATTGGATTTGTGGCAAAAAAATGTCGGATTGAGACAGGATATAAAACCCAAACCTTTCTCGTGTGAGATATTTTCCGATGCTTTTAAAAAATATTGGGAATTCCGTTTAAGTAAAGATCAAGAACCCCGTTACAGTGAAGAATTTTTGAATTATGTGACAATAGACGTTCAATTTCAAAAAAACTACTATTCGCGAGGTACGATCAAATAAAAAGATCACGACCAGAATCGAAAAACCTGACCTTTTTCTGAAAACGCAATCTTAATTGTGCACATAATCAATGGGACCGCTTCTTCCTGACGTTTACAAGACGGACTTAATTAGTATTCCACGTCCAAGGTAAAGTTGATGAAAACATTAACGAAAATCATTCGTGGTCTACGTATATGACGCAAAACGTTGTTACAAAACCATGTGCGAGTATTTAGGCCGAGCACGCAAATTGATTCACAATTAACGATTTTCGAATTTTGCAAATTGTTTGTTATTGCCGAAACGTAAGTGCGCGCCGAAAACCATGAATGGGACACTCATTTTTGATGATATGCCATAAATTATGACGATGACATTAAAAATAGTTAATGCGGTGTATCGTTAAACCGGATTTTCAATCATAATATAATATAGATCCAGAGTAGAATAACAATTTATTTTGAATGGTAATGCGCCAGTAACGGCAGCAACCTTCATCATGTTCATTTTTAAAACGGTTCTCCTCAATTTAGTTTTCGTGTTTACTTTGTGTTATGAGAACGCAAATGCTAACGCAATAAATCAGCTTGCAAGGTAAGATCCTCTATGTACTTTGGTGTGGTAATTACATTTTGGGGGCTGTGTAAGAACTGCATGCTATAATCTTAGTATCCAAATCATTGCACCATTTCGAAAATACAAAAAACTACCCCTTGCAATAATACTGGATTGAGTGTTCGTTAGGAATCGGGAGATACGCTAAAATTTTTGAGTACCGTGACATTTGCAGTTAGGCCGGTATTACACTATCAAAGATTTGATAAAATATGTTTTATAAAAGATTGACAAATATTTTATCAAATGTAATCGTCTTCCTATACAATATTTAATATATTTTATAAAAGATCTTTATCAAATATCTTTTATGGTCTAATACAGGCGGCCGTATTGCCGGAGATAACTCCTGAGGATATTGAAAAGTGTGAGATCAAGATCAAGATCAAGATTGTAGGGTTAAAGCAGCAAAACATTTATTTTGAAGGGGGATACAAATTTGCGTTGCAACACATTATAGAAGAAGTTGACCTATGCAAGATTAATAAATACGTACATATTAATAAAGGTCCGATTGTAGGTATATAATTAATGTGGAAGGAATCAACAAGTAGGTATTAATAATGCAATCTCTGATCTTGAATGGATAATTATTACAAATATTAAACGATCACGGTCAAGTTGGCCACACCTTTTCATAAGCATATCCGCTTGGTTGACAATTTCGCATTCCAATAATTTTGTTCATTTTCAAGAATCCCTGACGAAATAATGCAAAGGCGCGCCTGGTAAAAATCTTGCCGGGAAAAATTACTTTACACCACTTTATTGATCGATTTCATGGCTTCCGCATCGTTTTTGGGGCCCTGTTGTCAGAATTGTGGCGGGCCTCTAGTTATATGCCCTCTTGCAGTTTAAAATTTATATGGACAGGGTGTCTGGAACTCTAATCCAAAACTACTTTTTTTAAAGGCGATTCTTATGATATCCAAAAATATAAAAACGTTTACTACCAATCTATGACCTACTTTAAATTTGTGGTAGTGGCATAGTAGCCAAGGAAGGCTTATTTTTTAATGCCAACTATTAGTTTTCATTACATATTCTTAAAGAGAACCCTTTTTGGATATAGCAGCATAAAAATACACTTTAAAAAATGCCATTATGATTTTCTTCTAGGAGTCTACAATCCTAGGATTCGTTGAACGCACCACCTTTTCCTATTCTGCGCTAATCTTTTCATTTTTACATAGCTGCTCTTACCTAGGTGGTCTATGTATCTAAGCCTCTGGTCGTCCTACACCTCTCTTGCCCTCTGACCCACCTTCTATAGCTAGCTGTTCTAATCCTCCGTGTCTGAGCACGTGCCCGACATCATTTCATATCGTCTTCTCCAGCCGGTTTTCCACATGTCCCTACTTTCTTGTACTAGCTCCAAGACTACTTCGTTTGATACCCTTATCCATCCAGTTAATCCTTATTATTTCCGATGCTTATATCCTACTTTTGTCTTCCCTACCTATCGTACACAACTTGTAGGGCCGCATTATAACATCTTTGTATGCAACCTTATTAGTGATATTGTGCATATTTCGTATTTGAAGGAAATTTATAAATCTTAGCAAAAAATTAGGTCGCGGGCCTTATACTGGACAGCCCTGGTACTCGTCCTGATATAGAGGTACACTCCTTATCAGAGCTGTGCAAAGCCCTTTTGCAATGGGCTTCATTTCAAAGCCCTCAAGTCCGTGTAAGAGGAATGGTGAATGGAAAGCTCAAATTCCTCTTAGCACGAAAAGGGCTTAAAATTCCAAAGCCCTTTAAAAAAGGCTTAAAATTACGAAGCCTTAAGCTCAAAGCCCTTTGAAATTGAATTGAATTCCTTTTTAAAAATGAATTGAAATCCGTTAGGAAAAGGAATTGGGATTTGGAATTAAAAGAAATTGAAATCCTTGGCAAAGGAATGGAATTCCTTCGCAAAAGGAATTGAAATGTCTAATAAAATATGAATGATTATTACTCTAACAAGTGTTTTTCGTTTTTATACAAT